AGCTAGTTCAGTGACCCTAAGTGACATCTGGGAGAAGTTAGACAGGTGATCCACCCTGCTGTCCTCGGAAGAGACCCTACTGGGATGAAGAGGCCATACTAGCATATAGGGACCTGAGAATTGCTCCCCTGCCAGATCTAACTTCAGTGAAAGAGAAGTCGTTACCTATAAAGAAAACCAGAAAAGCGCCATAGAGCAATGATCTAGGACCTCGAGTGTAGAAAACAGTCTGCCTGAACTCAGATCCAGATTCAGGTTACAAACATGTGGGTAAGTCACACACACTGACTCAGGCTCTTGATCTGAAAACTAAGAATAAAATACTTAAATAAGTTAATATTGAAAAGTACATAGAATAGTAGTTGACCAGAGGTAAACTGCTTAATGACAGAAGGTTATTCCTAACAGGAAGGGGATGGATGCAGAGCAGGTACACATCAATTTGGGCCGAAGTATCTGTTATCGACCATCACATGACACATAACAAACACACATAAAACTCAATGGCTTAAACATGAGAAATATTTATTTAGCTCATAGATACGCTTGTTGGATGGGTGAGTCTTCTTAGCTAGGTTGGGCTCACTCCAGTGGCCATGGTTAGTTGGCAGGTCACCTGCAGATTGAGTTTGCATATCTTGGCTATATTCACTCATCTTTCAGAGGTTGGCTGTTTATCAGGCTGTCTAAAAAGCCCTTCTTTCCATGTCATGTAGGTAGCAGGATAGCTTAGGCTTGTTCACTGGTCGTGGCATTGGCAGGGTTCTGAGAACAGTAGCACGTGAAGTTTCGCAGGGCCTAGGCTTGGAGCTTGAACCATCACTTCTGCCATAGTCTACTGGCCACAGCGAGTCATAAATTTAGTTCTAATCCCTCAGAATTTTACTGTTTTTAGAGATAGTCTTTAAAGAAGTGATTAAAATAAAACTAAGTCATATTGGTGGGCTCTAATCCACTATGACTGCTATCGTTATAAGAAGAGATTAAGACACAGATTAGGAAATTAGATACAGAGGACTGACCATGGGAAGACACAGGGAGAAGATAGCCTTCTACCACCCAAGGATAGAGGCCAGCAAAGAAGCCCACCCTGGTCCAACCTGGTGGCTTAGTCAGCAGCAAACTAGATTGCAGTGCTGGAAACCATATGGCTGGCCGTGAGTTTGGATCCCCAGGTTGGCCTGAAAATACAATGGCATGTGTGTTGGTGTCCAAGATCCTGAAAAGCTGGAGGGCAGAGAAAAGGAGACGTGGCACGATGAGACCTTATTGAGGGTATTTCCCTCTTTTTTTCTCTCTCTCATGCACATGGACATGCTGTCATGAAAAAAAGAAACTTTAAAAACGAACAAACATAAAACTCATCTTGCTAACATCTTGATCTTGGGCTTTCATCCCCTAGAACTGTAAGAAAATAAAGATCAATTGCTTAAGGTACCCAAGCTGTTGTGCTTTGTCATCTCAGCCAGAGCAAATGAACACCGATTTGGGAGAGAAAACAGACTCTACCTCTTGACAGAAGGAACTGCAACCACATGGCAAACAATGTGTTTACAGGAAGGTGGAGAACACTTGGAACATTTAACAAAGTACTTATTTTATTTTATTTATTTATTATTATTCTTCCATTTGAACAGAGACAGACAGATAGATAGAGAGAGAGGAAGAGTGAGAAAGTAAGCCACCAGACTTGGGACTCAAACCCTTGTCAGCTGTGTAGGAGTCCAGTACCTTGACCAGTACACCACCTGCCAAGCCCAGGGGACATTTTTGACATCCATTTATCTTGCTTAGAGATGCAGGAGGAGGGTGAGCTCATCAATGTGGCAGAGATAACAGGTTGGAAATCGGCTTAGCTGTATCCTTAGCTTTCCTCTCTCTGGGTCTCGGTTTTCTCATCTGTGCCATGAGAGGTCTGGACCAGGTCTTGCTATGTTTCCCTTCAGTTCTGATAGTCTAAGCGTAAACCCCAAGCTGAGCTCCTTCTCACCTCTCCAACATCTAACTACCAAGTGTGAGTTTGGAAAAGACACTGCTCCTCTTGCCCACTCAGCACCGCCCTCCAATTACGTCACCCTCCAGCCTCACCAATCATTCCCTCTACCTAAGGACAGGGAGCACCTGCCAGGGAAGGCTTACCTGGCAGTGTCTGACAGAGAGAGAAGCAGCCCTGTTCAAAGCTCTGCTTAAAAGGAAAGGCAACAATTGTATATATCCTTCTTGTAGTCTCACCGACTGCACCTCGAGAGGGCAATTTAATGAGCATGGATTTGGGGGAGCTTTGCTTGTGGCCCGTGGAGAATTCGGCTGACAGTAAAGATAAGAAGGGAAAATGTAGACGAGGAAGAATTAATGAAATCCCAGGGAAAAAAAAAGCTATTAAGGAGGGAGGGAGCAGCTATGGAGAGGGCCTACCTGGCAAATCTAGAAGCACATCCATCTGATGACCTGAGTGGGCTAAAAGGCAGGCTGTGAAGACTCTCTCAGCAACCACAACGGAACTCAGAATCCTGTAGTGTCGGAGGAGACTAAACAGCCACGACTTCTGAAAAGAGCGCTGAATGGTTGTTACAGGCAACCTGAAAACAAACAAATCTACCTACAACAGTAATAATAATAATTTGAGCTCTTAATATCTGCCAGGGACTGACCTATGTGTTTGATTTTCTTTAAAAAAATATTTGTTTAATTTGATTCATGTTTATTGTTATTATTTTTAATTTGACCCCAGAGAGACAGAGAGAGAGAAAAAGGGAAAGTGAGAAAGCAAGCTGCCAGGTCCAGGACTCGAACCACAGTTAGCCATGTGGGAGTCCAGTGCCTTAACTACCACACCACCTGCCAGCCCCTACCTACGTATTTATTTTTAAAGAATTACTTTATTGGGACCAGCAGTTAGCTGGACTCCCATGTAGTCAACCATGGGTCAAGTCCCGGACCTGGCGGCTTAAACTCACGTCGGGTGCGTGTGTGTGCGTGCCCATGATCCTGAGAGGAGAATGGAGAAGGGATTGTGGCATGGCCATTCCCCCTGGGGGGTGATTTCTCGCTTTCTGTCTCTCTGTCTATCTGGCAAGCACACATGCCCTATAGCAAAAACCTCTCAAAAAAATTTATTTTATTTAACTTTAATTATTTATTTGTTTTAACTTGACCAGAGAGGGAGAGAGAGCGAAAGTGAGAAAGCAAGTCACCAGGTCCAGGACTTTAATGGCCATCAGCCATGTGGGAGTCCATCATCCCCAACTACCATGCCACCCTCCAATCCTCCTACCTACGTACTTTAAGTAGATTAATGTATTGAATCCTCACAAAATTTCTATAGGTAAATACCGAAATACTGTTATTCTATTTACAGACAAGGCAAGAGAAGGAGAGGGAGTCTGTGTCACCCAGACTCACAGCTAATAAGCAACAAGAATTGGACTTCCATGAGGGAAGGCTGTGTCAAAAGTCTAGGGCTGTCACTGCTTTTGGTCTACCGAGTCGCCATATTTTCTGGAGCCTGCTAAGAGAGAGATGAAACAAATGACTCCTTTTACAGATGGAGAAACCGAAGCCCGGAGTGGGACTTCCAGGAACACCAACTGTCTGTAGTCTACTCACCATGCTATATTCTTCTCCACTTGAGTGCTTCATCCTCTGTCTATCTGAACTGGTACCCTTAGTGTCGCTAGTATTCCACTCAAATGTCACCTCCTCTGGGAACCTCCATGCTCGTCTCTGGCAAATCAAAGTCTTCCTCCTTTGGCTTCTACAAAACTCTGCATGCGTTCTTATTAGAGGGCTTTTCATAGGCAGTATTTTCTGTTTTATTTACAGAACGTTCTTAAAAGAAAATCACACGAAGATAACAAATAGCTATGTTCCCACACACTAGAATTTATGTTTGTTAACATGTTGCAGTATTATGTACTATAAGCTTTTTCAAAAGAATTATTTATTTAATTGTATTAATTATTCTTCTTTGTTAAAGATTTATTTATTTACTTATTATTAGTCTTTTTAAAAAATAATTAATTATTATTATTTAATTTGAGCAGAGGGAGACAGAAAGAGAGAAAGTGAGAAAGCAAGCCGCCAGTTCTGGGATTCAAACCACAGTCAGCCATGAGGGATTCCAGAGCCCTAATCCCATGCCACCTGATTGCCCCCTATTTATTATTATTATTGTTATTATTATTAAATTTTCTATAAAGCACATGCGCTCACTGGAGAGAGAAAGGGAGAGAAAGAGAACGTGAGAAAGCAAGTCGCCAGATCTAGGACTTGATTATTAGACAACTATGTTGGAATCCAATGCCTTAATCACCATGTCACCTGCTGTCCCCAAGTTGTCTTTTAAGCAAAAGAGCTACAACATAACAAATTTGAAATAGCCTTTTCTTTTTAATGACGGAAGTGAAACAATGCCAGTTCAGCTGAAGTAGCACACCTGTAACCCTGCAGTGCACTTCCCTTACCCTCACCACTGACATGTATTTATTGTGCATCCTGGGGATGTATTCTATTTATTAATACATTTATTTAAATAATTACTTTATTTAACTTTATGTATTCTTTATTTTAATTTGACCAGAGGACAGAGAGAGAGGAGGAAAGTAAGAAAGCAATCTGTCAGGTCCAGGACTTGAACTGTAGTCAGCCATGTGGGAGTCCAACACCCTTAACCACCACACCACCTGCCACCCCATATTTTATTTATATTTTTACTCGTAATAGAGTATGTGTACATGTGAGAATGAGAGAGAGAGATGAGCACCTTCCACAGGGTCTGGTCATGCCGCAATGTCCTCCTACAGTTTTTTAGCCCTTTGGATCTTAGGCACTCGCACACATGCCTGGCATGTTTCAGGCTGACGTGGGGTTGAGGATTTGAACTGTGGTCACCGTGAGGGATCTGGCTTTTCTTGAGCAGCACATTTCTACGGTGTCATAGAGTCAGCCTGACCCTGTGGATAAATTTTCTAACTTAGGCATGTCTATTCATAAATGTGTATGTATGTGTGTAAGGCAAGAACTGTGCTTTATTTATTTAATTTTTAAATATTTGCTATAGGGTCCATGTGCTCACCAGAGAGAGACAGAGAGAGAAAGAGAAAGGGAAAAGGCACCTCCCCCAAGGGGGATAGGCCATGCCACAATCCCTTCTCCTCCATTTCTCCCTTCTCAGGATTCTGGGCGTGCACGTGCATATCCCTGGTGTGTTTTTCAAGTCACTAGGTCTGGGACTCAAATTGTGTAGTTGACCATTGGCCATGTGGGGTCTAGCTTCCTTAACCACTTAACCGCTCTGCCACCAGCTGGCCGTATTCATTTCTTTTGAGCTAAGGCTTAGCAAAACCTTTGTCATTTTTTGATAATAGTGATGAGGACGATGGTGGGTAACATTTTATGAACGCTTACTATGTTTCAGACCCAGTTCAAAGCTATTTTGGGGGGATGTGTATAGAATCACATAATTTTCTCAATGATCTCATGAAGAAGATGCTATTATGAAGCTAGTTTATAAAGACAGAAATGGAGGCAAAGAGAGGCATTGAACTTGATCCAGGTCAAAAAAACCTGGTCCAGCTACTTAAACCGGGCAGTCTGGCACCAATGCTCATGTGTATGTGAAAGACAATCTTCCTTCAGAAAGAAATAGAAAATATAGATATACAGTTGGATGAAAAATAGAACATTGCATGCACCCCAGAAGCCCACTGCACTTTCTCTTTGGCCATAATCCTCTCTTCTACCATCAATAGATCCTTTAGCAATATAATTTTGTTTTCTTTGATTTGGAACTTTAAATAAACCAAGTCATTAAATGATATTCTTTTATGTCTTGCTGCTTTGGCATGAGGTTGTGCTTATGATATGATTGCTGCTTGAATAGTTTGGTATTGAGTCATATATTGCAACTTCTCCATTTTTCAGGGGATATACAGTTGGCTTGTTTCCAGTTTGGGGCAGTTTATTAGTTTTTTTTTTTTTAGAATTATTTTTATTGGGACCAGTGGGTTGAAATACAGAGAGACAGAGAGGCAGAAAGTGAGAAATCACCACCCCCCCAGGGGGATGGCCATGCCGCAATCCCTTCTTCTCCATTCTGTTCTCGGATCTAGGGCACACATGCACATGCACTCGGCGTGAGTTTAAGCTGCCAGGTCTGAGACTCAAACCACGGTCTAATACATGGGAGTCCAGCGAGATAGCCATTACACCATCTGCTGATCCCAATTTATTTATATATTT